GAGGCGGCCAGCAGCAGGCCCTGGCCCCGGCCGATGTGCACGCGGAGGTCCCGGTCGTGGCCCGGCTCCCAGGGCTGCAGCTCGGGGCTCTGGTCCGGGCACGCGGGGGCCTCTGTCAAGGGGAGAGATGTCAGGGCTCCCCCGCTCCGGCCTGGCCACGGAGACGGCCACAGACCGCGGGGGGGGGGGGGGGGGGGGGGGGAGGGGGCAGGGGGGACCCACACACCGGCCTGGCCACGGAGACGGCCACAGACCACGGGGGAGGAGGGACGAGGGGGAGGAGGGGGCAGGGGGGACCTGGACACACCAGCATGGCCACGGAGACGGCCACAGACCACGGGGGAGGGGGAACGAGGGGGAGGAGGGGGGGCAGGAAGGACTCCCACACACCGGCCTGGCCACGGAGATGGTCACAGACCACGGGGGAGGGGGGACGAGGGGGAGGAGGGGGCAGGGGGGACTCCCACACACCGGCCTGGCCACGGAGACGGCCACAGACCATGGGGGAGGGGGGACGAGGGGGAGGAGGGGGGCAGGGGGGACCTGGACACACCGGCCTGGCCACGGAGATGGCCACAGACCATGGAGGAGGGGGAGAAGGGGGGACTCCCACACATCAACCTGGCCACACGAGGCATGGCATTCGTGCAGGGGAGGGCAGTTAGGGGCAAACAGGCTGGCAGGGGAGGGCAGTTAGGGGCAAACAGGCTGGCAGGGGAGCAGTTAGGGGCAAACAGGCTGGCAGGGGAGCGGTTAGGCATCAATCAGGCTGGCAGGGGAGTGGTTAGGGGCAATCAGGAAGGCAGGCAGGCAGGCGAGCGGCTGGGAGCCAGCCGTCCTGGATTGTGAGAGGGATGTCCCAGATTGGCGAGGGTGCAGGCTGGGCTGAGGGACACGCCCCCCCCCCCCACTTTGCACAAATTTCATGCACCGGGCCTCTAGTACCTTAATAAAGGGGGGCGGGGGGGAAGTGGGTGTCCCTCACTGAGGGGACAGGGGTTGGGGTGTGACCCTGAACTTCCCAGGCAACCACAGCCCCCCGCCTGCCCAGAGCCACGGTGTACGTGGCTCTCCCGGCTCCTGTAGCCACGGAGGCCACGACCCCTGCCTCGAGCCGGGCCACGGCACCGAGCGTGGGGAGACCGAAGGCCCAGGATGAGACTTGCCGGGATGGAGGGGCGAGCAGGGACCGCCCCCCGCCTCCGCACCCCTCACCCCTCACCCCTCACCCCCACACCCCAGCAGCTCCTGCACCTGCCGTGCCCACTCACCTGCAGCCCGGGCGCCGGGCGGGGGGCCCAGGAGGAGGCCGCTGGCTGTCAGCAGCAGCAGCAGCAGCAGCGGAGACAGCAGCGTCCGGCGGGAGCCGTCCCGCCTCCCAGCGAACCCCATCCTGGCAGCCTTCTCCCTGCAACAGAAGCGCCGTCAGACCCGCCTCCTCCCGGGCGGGCGGGCGGGCACACGCGGGCAGATCGGGGCACGCAGGCCCTGCCGTCACCCCGCCCGCCCCCGCCCCAGACCCTGCGCCGGCTGGGATTCCCGCCCTGAGGCTCCCGCGCCCCCCCCCCCCCGGACCAGGCTGTTTCTTTTCTTTTTAAAAAAAATATATTTTATTGAATTTTTACAGAGAGGGCGCATGCGGGAGGCGACCCATGGGTGTGTCTCTCTCCCATCGGTGTTTCTGTCTGCCCCTCTCTCTCTCTTCCACGCTCCCTAAAAATCAATGGGCAGCCCTAGGTGGTGTGGCTCAGTGGATAGAGCGTCGGCCTGCAGACCGAAGGGTCCTGGGTTCGAGTCCGGCCAAGGGCACATGCCCGGGTCCTGGGCTTGCTCCCCAGTAGGGGGCATGCAAGAGGCAGCTGATCCATGATTCTCTCTCCTCATGGATGTTTCTCTCTCTCTCCCTCTCCCTTCCTCTCTGACATCAATAAAAATATATATTAAAAAAAAATCAATGGGCAGCCCTGGCTGGTCTGGCTCAATGGATAGAGCGTCTGCCTGCGGACTGAAAGGTCCCGGGTTCGATTCTGGTCAAGGGCACAGGCTCCATCCCCAGTAGGGGGCGTGCAGGAGGCAGCCGATCCATGATTCTCTCTCCTCATGGATGTTTCTCTCCCTCTCCCTTCCTCCCTGACATCAATATATATATTTTAGAAATCAATGGGCAGAACAGATAGAAAACCAGGAAAACCAAGATGGCGGCATAGGTAAACGCCTAACTGCAGCCTCGCACGACAATTTCAAAAAATGCAACCAAAATACAAAGTGGACATTACCCAGAACTACTGTTGACAGGAAAGTCGACTGACTGGAAACTCTACAACGAGAAGGAAAGAGAAAACCAGAAGGAAAGTCAGAGGAGCTGTAAAAGCCTAAGGTACGGAGACATGGTGCGCGCATGCAGAGAGAGGACGGAGCCGGAGAGGAGGGGGCGGCCGAGTGCCCGGCTGGCGTTCCCTAGCGGGAAGGAGATAAAAGCTCCAGCTGTGCTGAACCCCAGATCCGACAGCACTGAACCCCAGCTCTAGGCCAGACCCTGGGGGACCCAGGCTCATACAGAGGGAGCCTGGGCTGTAAGGCGGAAACTGAAAAATCAATGGGCAAATATCCTCCGGGGAGGATCCACAAACACGCAGACAAACAAATAAGTCCATAAATAAAACAAGCCTGGGTGATAGCACGGGGCTGTCTGTGCCATAAATAAGGTGACCAGGCGTCCCGCTTTTGGCGGGACAGTCCCGATCTTTAACCATTTGTCCCAAGTCCCGCGGCATTTAAAAAAAAAAAGTCCTGATTTGCCGAAACCGGTGTGGCTCAGTGGATAGAGCGTCAGCCTGCAGACTGAAGGGTCCCAGGTTCGATTCCAGTCAAGGGCATGTGCCTTGGTTGCAGGCACATCCCCAGTGGGGGGCTGTGCAGGGGGCAGCTGATGTTTCTCTCTCATCGATGTTTCTAGCTCTCTATCCCTCTCCCTTCCTCTCTGTAAAAAATCAATAAAAAATATATTAAAAAAATAAATAAATAAAATAAAATGAAAAGTCCTGATTTTTTGGAAAGAATCTTTTAAATCTTTTGGGCTTTTTTAAAAAAAACGCCACGCGACACGGGACAAATGGTTAAAAATCGAACTGTCCCGTCAAAAGCGGGACGTCTGGTTCTCTTAGGACCCCTCCAGGAGGCAGGTGGGAGGCGGAAGGCAGAAAGCTGAGCCCCCCCACACCACCCCAGGAGCCATCCCCCTGCCCCATTACTTTAGTGAAAGAACCTCTGATTTTTATCTGGGCACATGGCCCCCCAGGAATAAGGCCTTCTTCCCCGGCCTCCGTCCCATTCTCTGCGACCTTGGCATTCAGTCCATTCAGCCCAATGGGTAGAGCAGGCCGACGCTCTATCCACTGAGCCACACCAGCCAGGGCTGCCCATCGATTTTTCAAAACGTATGTATTTTTGTTGGTGTCAGAGAGGAAGGGAGAGGGGGAGGGGGAGGAGAGAGAGAGAGAGAGAGAGAGAGACATCCATGATGAGAGAGAATCATGGATTAGCTGCCTCCCGCACGCCCCTCAGTGGGGAGCGAGCCGGGGACCTGGGTACGTGGCCAACACAGTGGACAGCGTCCAGCGTGTGAATTTCGGGAAACGGCCACGAGGCACGGCGGATGGGCGGCCCTCCCGCCTAAGTCCTCCCAGGCTGGGATTCAGCAGCGATGGCCGGGTCCCCAGCAGCCACTTTGGGCCACGTGGGGGGCGGGGAGAGGGGCCTGGTGGGCACCCACAGCGCAGCTTGGGGTTCTGTTCTTGCCCCCATGTCCCCAAATAAAAATGAGGGCTTCGTGCTGAAACCGGTGTGGCTCAGTGGATAGAGCGTCGGCCTGCGGACTGAAGGGTCCCGGGTTCGATTCCGGTCAAGGGCATGTGCCTTGGTTGCGGGCACATCCCCAGTGGGGGGTGTGCAGGAGGCAGCTGATCGATGTTTCTCTGTCATCGATGTTTCTAGCTCTCTGTCCCTCTCCCTTCCTCTCTGTAAACAATCCATAATATATATATATATTTTTAAAAAGTCAGGGCTTCTTTCACTAAGGAAGGGGAGGGCGGGAAATGCTCCTGGGGGGTGTGGGGGCTCCGCTCTCTCTGCCTCCCGCCCCTCACCGCCTCCTGGCTGGGTGCCGGGAGGGTTGGTGGCACAGGCGTCCTATTCGGAGTGTCAGGGTCGCCATCCACGCTGGTTTTATTTGTGGACTTACTGTCCGCGTTACGCGGGCGGAGGGTGATCCGGGCGCGATAAACCTCAGGACGGGAGCCTGCAGAGCCAGGCGCCAGGCTGCCCTCTGGGACACAATGCCACCCCCAGAGGGCTCTGCCCCACCCGGGGGAGGAGGGCGGATGGAGGGGAGAGGGGAGGGTGCGCCTCTGGACAGGGCACAGGTGTGGGGGGCCCGGGCGGAGCGCTCCTCCTCCCCCGGGGTCAATGCGCTCCTCCTCCCCTCCCCCTGGGTCAATGCGCTCCTCCCCCCTCCCCCCGGGGTCAATGCGCTTCCCCCCCTCCCCCCCTCAATGCGCTCCTCCCCCCGGGTCCCATGCCCTCCTCCTCCTCCTCCTCCCAGATCCATGCCCACCACCTCCTCCTCCTCCTCCTCCCGGATCCATGCCCTCCTCCTCCTCCTCCTCCTCCTCCTCCTCCCGGATCCATGCCCACCTCCTCCTGCTCCTCCTCCTCCTCCTCCTCCTCCTCCTCCTCCTCCTCCTCCCCCCAGATCCATGCCCACCTCCTCCTGCTCCTACTTCTCCTCCTCCCGGATCCATGCCCTCCTCCTCCTCCTCCTCCTCCTCCTCCTCCTCCTCCTCCTCCTCCTCCCCCCCCTCCTCCCCCGGGATCCATGCGCTCCTCCCCCCGGGGTCCATGCGCACCGTGTCCGGAGCGGCCCAGGCCGGGCGCGCGGAGAACAAGGCCCCATTCGAGTGCCCGGAGCCCGGGCTCAGGTCACGCATCGCGGCCTGCGGGCCGGGCCTTTCCCACGGCCCACGGGAGGGGTGTCTGCTTACGCCCGCGAGGAGGGGCCGGCGGAGACAGGAGCGGCGGGAGGGCGGCGGGGCGGGGGTCCCGGGGGGGGAAAGCCCAGCCGCTCCCGGTGCCATCCCGCTCAGAGGAGCCGAAGGCAGCCGGCCATCCGTCCGCCGCTGGCCCTTCCTTCGCTGGCGAAGGGCAGGTGAGAGATCCCCCCCTTCCTCCAGCTGATGGACAGACAGATGGACAGACGTAAACCCCACCTGCGGCCACCCAGGTTCCTGAGCTCTGAACCACCCGCCAGCACCTGCCAAACACCCTGAGCCCCCGATGCCTAAGCCCCTAGGTGCCTAACCACCAGTCAGCGCGCCCCCTCTCCTTCAAGGTGCGTGTACCCCGGCCCTCGCTCTCTCCCGCCCCCTCCGTGGAAGCAGGCGGCAGGGGTACCCTTCCCGCCAACAAAGCCTGCGTGTGTCCTGCCATCCGGGTCTCCGGCGACCTTCTCTGGTTAATCTATCAGCCGGGGTGGCCAGGGGGCCGGAAATGGGGACCCTCAGGCCTGTCCACACCCTTCCCCCCCCCCCAGGGGCCTGCAGGTCCTGGGATGGAGAGGGAGGCGGCGGCCACAGGCTCGGAGCTTGATCCCTCCGCATCCATCACAGCTCAGTTCCAAGGTCCACGCGATCCCCTGCTGGCGGCGCTCAGACAGCTCCCCGTGGAGGGCCGGTGGCCCCATGGCCTCTTCTCCCCGCCAGGCCCTGCCCGGAGCCGGGGACCCCCGCGCGCGCTGCTGGGGTGGACGGCCCGCGTGTCCACGTGTAGCTTCTTCCATCCCTGAGTGCTCACAGCCGTCCCCAGACACAGTCTGTCGACGTGGTCCCCGAATTCCACTCGAACACGGGGGGCGGGGAGGGGGGCAGCTTTTGGCACTGGAGCTGGGTTTCGGCGTCTCCGGGGAGTCGAACCCCAGCCGTGGGAAGCCGGGACGGGAGCCGTGGGTGCACAGGGCAGGCAGTCTCTCCGCGGGGGCCGCAGCTGGAGGGCCCCTGCCCTCGCCGGCCCCAGTGGCCCGGAGCTGGCGCATTCGGTCAGGGGGCCCGGGCACCCTCTGAGCAGGCAGTGCCCCGGGCTCCGCACAGCGGCTGGCGGGTGTTATCTGGAGGCCGGGGGTCCCCCACCAGCAGTGGCTCGGTCCCCGAGTTTGCAGAGCAAAGCCAGGGCCAGGGGCGCCAGCTGCCATCGCCTCTCCGTCTGTCCTGGCTCCGTCACACCTGCCCGGGTCCCCAGCGCGTCACCTGCACAGGGAGAGAGAGGAACAGGGTGAGTCTCGCCTCCAGAGGAGCCCTGCGCCCTGTTCTTCATCTTTTTGTTCTTAGATTATTATTTTTTAAAAAAAAAAATATTTTTTTTTAATTGAGTTTTTACAGAGAGGAAGAGAGAGGAATAGAAAGCTAGAAACATTGATAAGAGAGACACATCCATCAGCTGCCTCCTGCACACCCCTCCCCCACACTGGGGATGTGCCTGCAACCAAGGTCCATGCCCTTGACTGGAATCGAACCCGGGACCTTTCAGTCCGCAGGCCGATGCTCTATCCACTGAGCCACACCGGTTTCAGCCTTAGATTATTTTAAATTTTTTTATTTTTATTTTTTAAAATATATTTTATTGATTTTTTTACAGAGAGGAAGAGAGAGGGATAGAGAGTTACAAACATCGATGAGAGAGAATCATCGACCAGCTGCCTCCTGCACACCCCCCACTGGCGATGTGCCCGCAACCAAGGTCCATGCCCTTGACCGGAATCGAACCCGGGACCTTTCAGTCCGCAGGCCGACGCTCTATCCACTGAGCCAAACCAGTTTCGGCCTTAGATAATTTTTTAAATGTACTTTTCACTTACAGCATTTATATTCTATAGTTTCAGGTGAATGACAATAGTGACAGGCGTTTACGAAGCTTAAGGAGTGACTGCCCAGTGCCCGCCTGACACCACCCTCTCATCCTAGTTACAGTGTGACCGACCATATTCCCAACATCCTGTTTAAGGGGACCAGATGTCCTGCTTTGGATGGGGACAGTCCCGATTTTTAACAATTTGTCTTCTTTCCAAAAATCGGGACTTTTTGCCGAAACCGGTTTGGCTCAGTGGATAGAGCATCGGCCTGCAGACTGAAAGGTCCCGGGTTCGATTCCGGTCAAGGGCATGTGCCTTGGTTGCGGGCACATCCCCAGTAGGGGGTGTGCAAGAGGCAGCTGATGGGTAATGCTCTCTCTCATCGATGTTTCTAACTCTCTATCCCTCTCTCTTCCTCTCTGTAAAAAAAAAATCAATAAAATATATTACAGAAAAAAAAAGAAAAAGAAAGCAACCAGGAAGGGCAGCTGTTGGCACAGCGGACACACGCCTGCTCCTCCCTCTGCCAGGCTGGACGCTCAGACTGCCCGCAGGTCCAGCTGTGGCCGGGGCCCTGCTTTGATCCCAGGGGCCATCCCTCCCCAGTTATTCATTTGCAGAAACCGCTCTGGCTTCCTCCACTTCAAAGGCCTCCAGGAAGCCATAAGGCCGGGCGGGCAGGGTGTTTGTGTGTGTGTGTGGGGGGAGGGTAAGGGGGCTCCAAGGCCTGGGCTCCTGCCCTGGGTGCCTGGATTTCCCTCTGGCTTGGTCACTAGATGCCCGCGGGCAGGTGCAGCCTGAAGGGAGGGGGTGGGTATGAAGGCGTGATCTCTGGGGGGCGGGGGGAGGAGGAGAGATGGGCTCTGGGCTCTGACAGACTGGTGGGAAGAGTGGCTGGACAGAGTGATACCCCAATGATACCCCCTAACCGGTGTGGCCCAGTGGATAGAGCGTCGGCCTGCGGACTGGAGGGTCCCGGGTTCGATTCCGGTCAAGGGCATGGCCCTTGGTTGCGGGCACATCCCCGGGGAGGGGCGTGCAAGAGGCAGCTGATCGATGATTCTCTCTCATGGATGTTTCTAGCTCTCTGTCCCTCTCTCTTCCTCTCTGTACAAAATCAATAATAATAATAATAATAATAATAATAATAAAGCTACGTCCCTCGCCGGGAGGGCTGGACGGAAACATACTCAGAGTCGCTGGAAGGTTCGCGCTGGCAGGGAGTCAGGGGGCCGGGCACCCAGGTCGGCCCTGGCCTCCTGCCCAGCAGATGCCCTCACCCTCGGGCCTCGGCCTCATTCCCTGGGGCCACAGCCCCCGCCTGGGTCATGGCCCCCTGGCTCTGGCCTCCTCCACGGGGCTGAGCCACGGCCAGAATGCTGGCCCTGGTTCAGCCCACGCTGGCTGTGTTGCTCAGACCTTCCAGAAGCTTCCGCTGGAAAAAGTTATCCCCCGTCTGGCACCGTAAACAGGGACAGGGCTGGGTGTGAGGGGGTGGCACGGTCAGCACGGCGCAGGCCTGCCGGACACGGCCTGCAGGGACGGGGCCTAAGCCGGCAGTCAGACGTCCCCCGAGGGGTCCCGCATTGGAGAGGCCGGCCCTGCACCCAGAGCTCCCGTCCCTCCTCTCTCCTTCCCGCCGGCCAGGGGCCGTGCCGGCCAGGCCTGGAGGCCAGGGAGTGGGCACCTGGGAGTGAAGACTCAACACTGGTCCCAGTGGACCGGCCGGCGTGGCTCCGTGGCTGAGCGTCCACCTCGGTCAGGGTTCGATTCCGGGTCAGCCGATCCGTGATTCTCTCTCATCGTGGATGTTTCTTTCTTTCTTAAACAATATATTTTATTGACTTTTTTTTTTTTTTATGGAGAGGAAGGGAGAGGGATAGAGAGGTAGAGACATCGCATGAGAGAGAAACATCGATCAGCTGCCTCCTGCACGCCCCCTACTGGGGATGTGCCTGCAACCAAGGTCTATGTGTCCTTGACCTGGAATCAAACCTGGGACCCTTCAGTCCGCAGGCCGACGCTCTACCCACTGAGCCACACCGGTTGGGGCATCATTGATATTTCTATCTCTCTCTCCCTCTGGAATAAATGAAAACATATATATATAGTCCTAGCCCTAACTGGAGTGACTCAGTGGCCTCCCAGCCCTGTCATTGGCCCACACCTCCTAGGGGGCGGGCTCTGGTGGCCACAAGGGCGAGTGTGTGGTGGGGTCGGAGGTCAGCAGCGGTGGCAGGCGGCAGAGGTCCCTGAGCAGACAGGGGGGCCGGGGGGGAGAGGGGGGGAGAGACCTGTGCACCCATCAGGAGTCACGCTGATGGGGGGGGGGGGGGGGGGGGGGAGGGAGGCTGCACACAGACAGACCCAGCGGTGTGACCCCACCACGGCCCTGGGGGCCCTCGGAGGAGGCGGCCCCCCGCCCCCCTTGCTCTGAGAGGCCGGGAGACCTGCTCTGGGGACCAGCTTCCTGCCCCCCTCCTCCTGCCCAGGGCCCCTTCCCCACCCCCCTGCCCCCAGGGCAGGCTGCACCCTCACCCTCAGGGCCGTTTGAAGTCCCCGCCGGGGCCTGTGGGGCCGCAGCCAGAGCCGCACTGGCTGCCAGCCAGGCCACCACCTGCCAGGCCCACCACCTGCCCGGCCAGGTGCCCGCGTCCCCCGCCAGCAGCTGCTGACCCGGCCCTGCCTGGCAGCTCCAGGAAAGGGGGCGGGGGGGCGGGGGGAAGCTATGGGCTCGCCTCCCTGAGGCCTGGGGCCCGGGCTCCTGCCTCTCCTGCCCACGTTGGTGGGAGAAGGACCTCGATGTGAGCCTCCTGCCTCTTCCGGAAACCCCGAGTCCCCGAGTCCCCGAGTCCCCGAGTCCCCGAGGTCCCGAGTCCCCGAGTCCCCGAGTCCCCGAGTCCCCGAGTCCCCGAGTCCCCGAGGTCCCGAGTCCCCGAGTCCCCGAGTCCCCGAGTCCCCGAGTCCCCGAGGTCCCGAGTCCCCGAGTCCCCGAGTCCCCGAGGTCCCGAGTCCCCGAGGTCCCGAGTCCCCGAGTCCCCGAGGCCCCGAGGCCCCGAGTCCCCGAGTCCCCGAGTTCAAGGGCAGCTGTGCTTCCCCGCG